CCCTGGCTGCCAAGCGTCCCTCGCTGCGACCCAGCCTCTTTGCAGGCACCACAACAAACCCAGCTGCCGGCAGAGCCTGGGCACCATCTCATGTCACTGCCAGGGGGATGGCAGGCCTTGGCACATGCTCTTGCCCACCCCCCCCCAAGTGCACTGGGATGGCCTCGCCACCCCAAAACCCTGTCCTGGGTGCAAGAAAGTCTGGCAGCTCTGTAGCATCCCTGCTTGCTGGGGCTGGGGATGCTGGAGCACGCCAGGGATGCTGGAGCACGCCAGGGATGGAGATATAGGAGCCCTCTGTGGCCTCGCACTGGAGCCCAGCACCCAACTGGGAAAGGGTTTGAACCCCCAAACTTTGCTCCTGGCTCTGGCAGGGCTTCTCCCTCTCCTCTCTGCAAGCCTGGGGGCTGCTCCCTGGGAGCGGTGGATGCAGGAGAAGCGGCCGCTGTGCCGAAACGATGCTTGGTGCCTCGGAGCGGGGCGATGCTCCAGCCAGCATCCCCCCCTTGCCTGGCACTGCCAGCCCAGTCCCATCCTCACCCAGAGAGCCGTGGGGCGAGCCCTTCGTGCACATACCTCCGAGGCGAGGGGCTGGGTTGGCAGCTCGTCCTCTGCCGCTGCCGCCGCCGGCGCCCCTGGGCGAGTCCCTGCGCCTCCTCTTCCCCCTCGCCCAGCGAGGGCCCTGCGAGCGGCTTCATTTGCAAAGCGCGGAGGCTCCAGGACCAGCACACCTATCATGAGAGACACATATTAGCTGCGCGCAGATGGGAGAACGCCTCTAAATGTTATATTTTTAAAGCATTTTCTCACCCAGCAGGAGCTCCAAGCTCCTCTGCTTAGCGTGGAGGCTTCTGTGGGAAAAGAGGTGGGGAGGCCCGCTGCAATTCAGGAGGATGCTGCTGGGATTCGGGCAGGCACGGAACAAGGAATTTATTACAAGCCCCATTTCTGTGCAGTGCTGAGGGCGGACTTTCCCGCTCACCACCCCTGTTTCCCTCCCATGGGGTGATCCTTGTTTGGGGCTCACAACATGGGTTCGTCTCCATGATAAGTTTGTACCCACCTACCGGTGCGAGCGCCCGGTGCAGAGCAGGAGCAACCCGCTGTACCCGAGCACCCCCCTGCCAGGCCAGCTCCCAGATAGACCGATATAAAAGATTCCTGATGGATTCCTGAATTCATCTCATTTAAGCTGTTTTGCAACATTTAAAAATCAGAGAAAGCCAGCAGAAAATCCACAGAATCCCTCTCCCAGCCCAGGGCTCTCCTACAAGACGCGTCTCCTCAGGAGCTGTGCCCACGGACACGCAGATATGGGGCAAAAAGAGATTTATTTTTTGGCCGGGACACAAAATGCAGCAGATTTAAGGGGACTGGTTGAAGCCCCGCATGCCTGTGCAAAGCCCTGGCCAAGCTCAGTCAGCCTGGCAATGGTCTTGCCCCCATGCCGAGTGGGGGCATCACCCATCTCCCGGAGCTTGCGCAGCCCTGATGGAGGTGGAAAAGCAAGCAGCACTTGGCATCTGTCAAAACAAGCCCATTTCATGCCTATACACTGAAAATTGTCCCTGACACCTCTGCCTAAGGGGCCCGGGAGCCCCCGACCGCCAGGGATCAGCCAAACTCATCACATCAGTGAGCATCAGAGTTTTCCCAAGGGCCAGTCCCCACTGCAAAGCAATCGCTGTAATAGCCACGGCAGACCCTGCAGCCTGCTGATTTCCTACAGCCCAGCCAGCTCCTTATCTTTGTGTTACGGATGGCAATACGGAGGCACACAGCTCGTTTGCCCAGCGTGGCGTAAATAACCCCCCGGGAAGCCAGACTGAGCGCTTTCCCTTGGCTCGGTGACTTTACCAAACGCTCCCCGGGTCGTTACCTGCCTGAACTTGTCTCAAGCAGCTGAAAGCAGATGCTGGGGCCACCCAGCTCAGACCTGGCACTCGGCGCTGTCGGGTCCCCAGCAGACCCAGGATGGGGGGTCAGGGGACGTGGCGCAGCCGGCAGACGGTGGGTCAGGGGGTGCCGGGGCCCCACGCGGTGCAAGCTGCCGGCGGCAGAGTCTCCCCCGATGGGGAGCGACCGCATCTGCGGCAGAAGAAGCTGCCAGGGAAGAGCTTGATGCAAGAAGGCCTTTAAAGGACATGCACGAGAGCGGCTGGGAGCTCCCAGCGCAGGGCCGGGGCGGGCTGAGCGGCTTGCAGGTGGCCAGGCGACCTCTGCTTTTGGTGCGGGGCCGGATCCTGCCCCCGCTCTTTGGAGGTGACAGTTTGTTACCCAGAGCTGGAAAAGACCGGGGCTGCTCCCTCCGTGCCCAGCGTCTGCAGAGCGAAGCAGACCTGAGTCTCAGCATCGCCCTGGCAGGAGGCTCAGGACAGGGTGGTGGCACTCAGGACCTCCAGGGAGGTGCGGGACCCCCCTGTGCCTTCATGGGGGGCCCAGCACGAGGCTAAACCGGGATGGCTGATGAGGAGCCCCTGGAGCATCATATTTGATGATGCAGGGAAGCCGCTCTGCCACGAACCCCATCCCTCCTGCCCCTCTCCGTAGCCCCCCTTTCCCCCCAGTCATCACCCCCTCTGCCCCTTCCCCTGCCTGACTCCTTTGCTCAAATCCATCACATCCTCTAAAGCCGCTTTCTTCCCCTAATGAGCTTACGTGGAGTCAGACTCGATGCTCAGCACTACAGAGAAGCAGGCTGCAGGCAGGCAGCTGCTGTTAGCCCCCCCCCCCCGCGCCCGGGGACCCTGGTGTACCACAAGGATCGAGGCAGGTCCTTGGGGTCTGCAAATCTCATAAGCCCTCAGAGGTCAGCCAGCAAAGGGCATCTCCCAGCCCCGGGGCAGGGCTGGCCCAGCCTCCTGCCCATCTGCCAGGAGCACAGGATGTGGCCCCGGGTCCAGGAGCAGCCGGGAGGGCTGAGAGCGCCCGTTTGCAACTTTGAAGCAGGAGCTGTGCTGTGCCATGGCAGGATGGGGCTTTGGAAATGGCCATCAACAACGGTCCCCACCGAGTCAGGATTTCAAACGTCCTTGAAGCTTCGGGGATGGATTTTCCCTGCTGGGGGCAAACACCTCCTGCTCGGACCTGACCCAAAAGCAGAGCTGCTGAGAAATCATGAGTCGTCCGAGGGGAAGAACAGCCCTAAATTCCTGTGCTGTCTTCCCTGTAACACACATACCTACCTACCAACACAAGTTGTGGTATGCATGATTAGCACTAATTAACGACAATTAACACATCCTAAGTTCACACCACCGGCACCAGGAAGACACCAGACATGTTGAAAGGCAGAATGGCACTGTCACCTTCTGCCTTTGCTTAAAGTATCTCCCCCGGGATTTCCTCTCTGCCGTCCATCTCCAAGAGTTTCCAGGTGCAAGGGCTTCTTTTGAGAGAAGGATTTGCTGAGACACACGCTGCCCGGAACAAGCAGGTCGCCTGGCCCAAGCTGTGAGAGGATGCTCAGGGCTTGTGTTGGCAGAGCCAGATCCACCCTGTGGGTGGGTACATCCACGCACGTCTGTCTGGGGGCAGCTCATTCCCGGGTGCTGTGCAGCAGCGATAACCCCGAGCAGCGGAGCTCCCCCCCGCCCCTTACCCCCAGTGCTTTCCCAGCCGCTCAGTGAGTTTGCTGTCTGGCTGTTATCACGAAACACATGAATTCCCCAGGCATGAAGTCAGGTTTGCATCAGCACCCCCAGTCACTGGGCTAACTCGCCTCCGGGCACCCCTTTGTTTCAGAAAGGGGAGACTTGAGCAGAGGGGAAGACCCTTCCTTTGGGCTGAGACTCAGGGGGGGAAGTCCAGCACCCGATCGCGATGCCATTCCCCTTCTCGAGGACCTCCCCCTGCCCGCATTACATGAGGGTCTGTTCAAGCACACGGCGGCTCTAAACTATAGATTTTCTTGCTGAGCGCTTTTGCTAGCCAAGCACAAGGTCTCTCCTTGACAGAGCCTGCAGCCGAGGCTCCTGTAGCAGGGCATGGAGGTAAAAGCACCTTTGCAGCATGATGCTGAGCAGGCAGAGGGTACAAAACCAGCCGCCCCCGAGGATGGGCAGTGCAGCGGCAGAGGCCAGCGAGCTCCAGGGATGGAGGATGGACATCATGGCATACACCAGTGCCTTGCCTTCAGCACAGCCTGGTCCTGCTGGCCCTGTCCCCACAGAGACCCTGCTTCCTCCCCGAGAGCAGCAGCCCGGCACCGGGCAGGCAGCAGATTGGGCTCTGTAGCCTCTGCTCTAGCATCCCGGCTGCAG